TTTGGAACCAACTAAACCATTTTAACTGACCATTTTCCAAAACAATTCAGCTTGAGGCTGCTATCTGGCATGGAAAATTTCAGCTTGCATACAATCCAAAGCCAGAAGACTACCCCCAAAATAATTCTGAGACCATATCTTTTAGAAAAACATCCAATCTTCCAGCTGAAGTGAAAGTCATGAGAAAGATGAGCTTCAGTGTGTTAGTAAATAAGATGACACCAAGCCTGCATGGATGTCTGAAAAGTAGCTTTAACAAGTGCTTGCAACAGAAATGGATCCTGGCAAACATCAAGGAGCCCCCAATAAACACTTTGGAGCTAGGAGGCAAGCACAAGCAACTTTGAAAAAGGAGCAGACAAGGAACTGGCTCCTTTTGCAGGAAGAAGCAAACGGGATAGGATCTGCTAAAGAATGTTCTAAATTAAATTGCATATACTTATTGTTATTCACTTATTGTATATTTATTTCACCAGCTTGCCAGTGTCCTCTGTTCAGGCTGTATGCAACTCAGAAGGAAGTATAGTGTTCTCCTGTAGGAACAGAACCTAATTGCTCTTTCACCAATGACTTGCTCCAGCACCTTTTTTTTGCACCTGTCCTTGAAGGTTTCCATATATCACACTACATCTGCCATCACTATACATATGCAGGGAGGTTTTAACACATGAAGCTACAGCATTTCCTACAGCTCTTACAGTGAATCTCTGTGCTGGATCAAATTAATTGCCATCTAGGCACCACACCCCAAGAACCTAGTCTTCTTGGGCACTATGACAGAGGAAATGTCTACTGTTGATTTGCTGTCTGGATTTTCACTGATGGCAGCATAGCTATAAATCACTCAGCTGTAAAAATGTATAAGACCCATTCTCTGATACTGGACTATTTCAAAAGATTTGTGGTATCATATAGGTTCTATTGGAGAGCTGACGAATGTGGGTAGGGAAGCAGGAAATCTAAAACAGCCTTGCTACTGACCCCAAACTGAGTGCTAGCAAAAAGTATGATTATTATCCTGAAACAAAGGTAGACCAGAGTTCAAATCCTCTTAGCTAGAGCATCCCCAATCCATTGCACAGCTAAGCTAGTGACTGCAGGAGCAAGTAATGAGCCACTGAACTATGTATCTGTTGGGGGTAGTAAGCACTAAGGCTACGTCTACACTGCGCATTGTTCTGCCACTTATTTTCAGGAAGAACGGCTCCTGCGCAAGAGGGGTTTCTTGAGCAAGAAGGAGCAGTGTAGACAGCTCCTTCTTGAGCAAAAACCCCTTCTGCAAAATGGCTGTTCATTAGGTGTGCAAATGAGGCACGGCAATAGTCATCCCTGCATCTCATTTGCATATCTTCTTGCGCAGCAATGCGCAGTATAGACGTAGCCTAGGGATGGCTTATGGAAATCCCATCAAAACACTGACTTCCATTCTAAATATGAAATTCCCTTGGCATCCAGGGGCATGTCTACACTAGGAAATTATTTTGAAATAACTCCCAAAATAACTATTTTGAAAGAAGCTTATTCCCCAAGGAAAGCAGGAGTTATTATTTCAAAATAACTAGCCCCTTATTTTGAAGCAAGGGCTTGGCAGTAGGGATGCTCTGCTTGTTATTTTGAAATAACTCCCTAGTGTAGACATGCCCTAGAAGATCAGTAAACTGTGAGGCAGAAAAAGGGCATGGATTTTGGGACTTTCCTTGAGCTACTGAGATGTTGAGGATATAAAAAACACACCACTAACATTTTCTTTATTTTTTTTATGTAGGAAAAATGTTTAGATTTTCCGTTTGCTTCCTGTGGCAAAGAACCACTTGTGAAAGATTCTTTCTTAAGATATGATCCAGCTCCCATTAAAGTCAATTGGAGTGTTTCAAACTGATGCCAATGGGATGCCAAGTCAGGCCTAGTGAGAGTAGAAGAGGAACCATTACTGTCTTTCATGGAGGCTGAGACACTGAGAAAAACCTGGCTAGCTGAGTAAGTATGCCAATTGGGAAGACTTCATGTTTCTGTTTAGAAAAAAAGAGAGCTCTGTCCTTATCCAGCTGCATTGCATAGGGACATTCATGAATTATGACTCTAGTCCATGACAGTGGTTCCTATTCAAGAAAGGCTTTTAAGAAAATAAATCTAAAGTGTTATGATGTGGGCCTTCTACATCACAAGTGGTAAATTCATCAACATTCAGCTGCAGTTTGGTGCAGTGGACAGCATACAGGACTAAGAATTAGGAGAGTTGGGTTTTATTTCTGACAAAATATTTGTCTGAAGCATTGCTGTAACTCTTCACTAACTAGTCATCAGTGCTCCAAATGACAGAGATGATGTTCTTTGCCAGACCAGAATAGCTTTGAATTCAAAAGCTCTGATGGTTTGATTGGTGAGAAGCTATAGATTTACAAAATGTTACATATGCAGTTGTTTCAACTATGAAATGAAAAGGCTTCAATAGAGTCAAAATAAATACAAAACTACATCATACCAGGTATCATTTTTATCCTAAAACCATTTGCTATAAGCCTTGGATCTGTCAAGTAAGTTGATCCATTTAATTTTTGGCAATCCTTTGGCATACTGTAGAGACAGTCCATATAATGAGATCCGCTCAAAAGACTGAAAAACAAACAAGCAAACAATAATTTAATGAAGCTTAAATAAACAAAGTGAATAATAATATATTTACTACCAGAATGATAAGTTCAGTATTACAGTCTGTTAACCAATAGTATTGTACCATCATCTATTAGCCATTTTAAAAATGACATTTACATATGAAAAAAAATCTAGGGATAAATGGATTTTTACTTTGGAAAACAGAAGTACCATAAAAATTCCAGGTCAAATAAAGTTGAAAAAGACAGACTTGAGTGTGATCGTTTTCTCTGAATATCCCAAACATCTGTGTAATATTTTTTGTAACTGATATTCTAACAAATTATCCAAATCAAAAGCATATTCCTATTATATTATTCCAACCCCCCCCCACCCCCACAAATTATAATTAAAATTACTTGATCATGAATCAGTTATAAAACTACATGGCAAGAATTACCCAATGAAATAAAATCAAAATATTATGAAACCCAGAAACTATCTGTTAAGGTAGACAGATAAGGATGCTAATTCGCTTATATTCAATACAAAGAACTGCAAAACATAGATATGTACAAATTAACAATAGACATTACTGGCTCCACAGGCAATATTGATCAGTGAGGAGCGGTGGAAGTATTAAGCAAAGCTCTGGGTGATCAGTAAAATATTTTAAGTATCTGACCCCCCCATTCTACCACTACTGAAATCAATGACAAAATTACTACCGGTGGTAGCGGTGAGGGGATGGGCATCAGGGAAAAAGAGGGCAAAGGGGCAGTGAGGGAAGGGGGGAGGCACCAGGAGGGTGCAAGGGTAAGGGAAGGTGCAGGTGCCAGGGAATTCTGGGGGTGAAGCAGAAGGGAAGACACCTGCAGGGGAGGGACCAGCACCAGAGGAGAGAGGCAGGGCAGGTGTGTAGAGGGAGGTGTTATGAGAAGGGGTAGCTCACATGATCAGAGTGGGGCTACTGGAGGAGTGGGCACAGGGGAGAGAGAAGGGCTGGTGGAGGGGGGGCAGGTCTCAGGAGGGCTGAGGGCAGTGAGAAGGGCAGGAGTCAGGACAGCAGGGGAAGGTGAGAGGTTGGGGGGGCAGCAGGCACCAGGGGCGCTGATGGAGCAAGGGGAGGAAACATGGCAAGCAGATGATGGGGACATGGTGGGAATGGGGAGTGTGAGATTTAAAGGGGCCATGATTTTTTTGGGGGGGGGGTAGAGGGGGACTTTTTTTGCTCAACATTTGGACATCCCCCCCTTTTTATTAATGCAGAACTTTGTTTAAAATGAATGACAATATAATTAAAATAATAATTATCCAACTAAATTAAGTTTCTATCAAATTTACCCAGTTCACATTTAATATGAAAATAGCCTTCAATTTGAGCATTTGACACTTTTTTCTATTTTTTCTCCAAAGGGGGGGGGCCGAATAATTTAATTAATACCCTTTACATGTAAAATTACCTATATATATATATTATGTAATATTAAATATGATGTTTTTCATATTATTTAATGTACAAATACAAAATAAGCCTTGAAAGATTGTTGACGCCTGCCACACACTTCTGAAAACATGTATGTGCTATTGGCCACAAAAAGGTTGGGGACCACTGGCTTACAGTACTGGAGGTGGTCCCGCCCCTTCAGGAGTTGGTGATTTCAAAGTACCATTGGCTCTCCCTACCACGAGCCAGACCTGTTCTCTCCTTGAGCTCCTGACACAATTGTACTAGGATGAAGAGTTTGCCCAGATTTGGAGGTGTAGGGGAAGAAGTCCTCTTCTTCGATGAGGACTTAGGAGAGGATTTCCCCTTTTTTATGAGAATGATTGCTCTTATTCTTCTCCCATCTACTGTGCCTGACAAGGTCTTTTGCTTTGCCCTCTGATGATAGGGAGCTGAGAAGTACCGTATTCAGAGAAGCTCTTCTCAGCACCTATGACCAATGAACACGAGGTCTGATGACTCAGGGTTGGACAGGGGATTCACTTAGCACTCCATCAGGGATTTTCTGAGATGGAGCTCTCAAGACTGCCCGGTTCAGAGGGGAAAGGAGTACCAAATATTGCATCTTGGAAGGGATACTGGCCTCCCCAGGCAACAGAAACAAATCTCATGGAAAACACTAACCAGGAAGACCTGGGAACAGGCCACACAGCTCTTGAAGCCAGGGATACCAAATACTTCAAATGGTAGGAATATTGGGGTGAAGAAAGGCCCCCAACACTTTTTCTAAACCCTGAATACTACCACTAACTAATTAGATAAAAGATAAAAACTTCTTGCAGAAAAAATTGAAATTGAAGTGGGAATGCTAGTAAAGCTACAGACTTGGAGGGATTCCATCACTAACCCTACGTAGTAGGAAGGAACTGAAGAGGCAGGAAATCCACACCATCTTGGATGCCCTCAGTTTGGAGCACAAGAAGATGCAGACTCAGACCAACAGGACTGCTAATAAGTCGTCTGGTCTCAGGTAAATGGTGCTTTTGTGCATCTTGAGTGAGGGAATATCACTCAAAGAAAAATTTGTGCCTAAGGTCTCCTCAGTATTTACTATAGATAATTCCTATGTGATGATAATAATAATAATAATAATAATAATAAAACCAACAAAAAACCAACCCCCCTTTCCCCCCCCCCAAAAAAACTCCACAACATTCTTGTTCCACACTACTATACCTGTCAGTTAATACAATTGGCTTGTCCAGTTTCTCTGCAGGAAGTTTGTGTTTTTCCAATAGTTTCTTATAAAGTAGGGCTTCTTCCACTCTATAGGGATTTAGCAACATGATATTTTTTTCAGAAGCAATTATCCATGCATCAGGAAAACTCAGGTGACAGATTAGACAAGATTCATGTTTATCAGAATTTCTCTTCTCAAGCCTTTGAAGTTTATGTTTGAAAGAGCTCATAGAAAAGGGCACCTGTACAATTTTCATAGCTTGGTTATATTGCTGTTTCTTTTCAATTTGAGACTGAAAAAGTTTGTCAAGTTTCTGCTGGTCACAAAGAGAAGTCTTTAGTTTGGGCTTGTATCTTTTTTCTGTCTCTTTTGTTGACTTCTGTATTCTCTGCTCTGCAGCTTTCTTGGTTTGTCTGTTGTATCGTTCCAGATCTTTAGTGGCTTTTTCTTCATACCTAAAGGGAAAGTGGGACGGGGTGTGGGGAGGAGGAGAGAAATCACAAGTGTAACAAATTAAAAGCTAGATTGTGATGCCCATTCTAATACAGTCACACATTTCTACTCCCTTTGATAGACACATCAGCTCTTTTTTCATCTTGTCCCCAATACTCCACACCCCTATTCTCTATCCCATTGAGCAACTGGGTGAGAAGTCTCTGAAGAGTGGATGGAGCTTTGCCTCTACCCCAGTGTAATGGTCAAAAGAACTTCTGCTTTATATCTAAAGGCTCAATCTAACCTTAATTTCATAACCAAAAATACCGTTTCAGAAGTACATGTTCAATTTACAGGCATTTAATTTGTATTGCAGAGTGGTGCCTTCAAATGGGTTTTAAAGTATTTGAATGTCTAGACATGAAAAATTAACATTAATTAATCTATATTCAGAATTTTGGGGGACTATTTGGTAACAGCCTTGTCAATCAACCTATTTGACAAAAGCAGGCATTTGGTAGCAAACTGCTATTGATTACTGCTTCCCCAACCCCATGACTGAATTATAAGAGGTCCAAGAAAAGACTTTCTTCAAGCATAATTTCAGTATGAACCTAGTCTATGAAGATCAGTTTGAATAACTGAATAACTTAATACAGAAATCAATTACATTGAGGTACAGTAAAACTCCAATAGTCTGGCATCCAATAGTCTGGCACTCCTGATAGTCCGGCATCAAAATGGCTAGAGCCTAGTGAGCGAACTTCGGCAAAAAATGAGTCACAAGGTAACAGCGGCAGCAGCTGAACTGAGCAAAAAGGGTAAAAAAGGCTTAAAAAAACTAAAACATTACAGTATACCGTATACAGTATGTACAATAAAAAGGGTTAAGAATACTTTATATACAGTATATAATGTATACAGTATATATAACCAGCTTATAGTACCTCCTGATAGTCCGGCATATCTGATAATCCGGCACCACCTAGGTCCCATAGGTTCCGGATTATCGGAAGTCTACTGTAGTTTACTGTAGAGATTCCTTAAGCATGTTTAAATGACACCAACATAAAATAATGCTATGGCTCATGCCATCTCTAGAAAGATTTGTTATAGGAGAATTTGTAAAGACTGAGATTGTCGGGTAATTTAAACTAAACAAAGGCATACATTAAAAATATTAAGTGAAATTGAAAGCAAAAATTTAAAATGTTGATGAACTTTTTGTTATTTAACATATATTATTATCCTGTGGAATTAATTGTTAAAACAATTTGAGTCCAAATGCATAGCAGGATTCAAACAACTACAATTCATTTATATGAATAATGGGATGGATGATATCTTGTTACATTAGACAAGATAAAAATAAGACAGGTCATAAATTATACTGCTTAAGCCAACAACTAACTGACTGAAGGGTTAAGGATGGAACTTTCATATAAGAAAGCTATCCTTTAACTGCCTGCTCTGGGAATT